TAGAATTTTGTTTCTTCTTTGTTTTTTTTTTTCTACCATGAGGTTTTTTTTTCTAAGATGTCTAGGTCTTTCATAAATTTTTTCTTTTATATATGAATAAGGGTTAATGATTTAGTCGGGCTTAGGTGAAAGAAGCTTGAAAGAAGGGGAAGTAGTCATGACGGGCAGTAGGTACCATCTGTTGAGAGCTGATCAATATCTGAATTCAGGAGGGGCTGGATGAAGGAGAAATCTACTATAGCAGGTCACACATAGGTGCCAATTGGGATAACTGGGTGAGTTGCAACTCGTAATTTAGATAACTTAGAGTGTACCTTGAGTATAGCACTTGTCGTTTAGAGATAGTTCTCATATGCTATCTGCTGACTTGTTCAGAGTTTATTACTCATTGATAAATCTTTTTTGTAAAATTTTACTGTTTTATAAGAATTGTACAAAGCCTAATAAAGTTGTGGCATGATTGCCGAATTTGAACAAAAAAAAAAAAAAACTCTTTTTAATCTGAACCTCTCTAATTTGAACTCTTTTTAATTTGAATCTAAAACTCTAAGACATTCATAAATTTTATTATAAAGCTTAGATTAGTATAATACCTCTTTGAGAACTAAACTAAATATACAAAAATAGGCAGTTTAGAATAAACAAAATTGGCTGTATACAAGAGCATATTAAGAATGTACTGTATATAGATTATAATATAAAACAAGTGCTGTTATTATTATTGCTATATAGATAATCATTAATATAGCTAGCCCTGGTAGTTGATTTTGTATACATGATCATTTAATTATGTTTACTTTTGCATGTATTATAAAATATATTATCTGTATAACAACAACAAATTCTATTGAATACAAGATTACATCTACTATCACGTGTTTTAATCTGCACTGGTGCAAAAGTATCAATTTTGATAAATCATTGGCTATATTTTTGATGCATTTTTTTAATACATATATATAAAATTCGTACAATTTTATTGAATGATTAATTATAGCGATACTGGACTGAAAAACATAGTCTTATTAGGAACCGGGACGGACTGGACTGATTCATTCCTAGATTTTACATAGTAATTTTTGCTAACACTATCGTTTGAGTCAAACGATAGCGTGTAAAATCAATGTGATCGACATGTTTGACTAAGTATACTGTATATTAAACAAAACAAATTTAAATAAAATATTTAAAATTTAAATTAAATTTAATAAGTGAATTAATGTAATCAAGTAGATAATATAATAATTATTGATATGATACAAGATATAATTATAAAAATTTTTATTTTAAAATAAAGTTTTTTTTAAAAAAAATATTATTTTATAGTGGCTTAAAGCTTATTTGAACAATAATTCGAGACCAAGCATTTTGTTATCGATAATTGATAAGTAAAAGTGGCTACCAATAACAAGAAATAATCTAGCTTTTATCGCTTTCGATTTTGAAAAAAGAATAAAAATATTAGACATTGTTGTCTATCTTTTTTTTATTTTAGATTAATACAGTAAATAAACAAGGATATGCACCCCACAATTCGCACGATACTTTTTTGTCTTTGTGAATCATATCGATAAACTACTCAAGTAATCTATACTTAATAAGCATGGGAGTATAACGATAACGACAGGATCAACATCGATTAAGATTTCGATAGAAAGCTAAATAAGGAAGAAATTCATTGTTATAAAAAAATGAGGAGTAAAGTGAATGAGGGCTTAAGAAGAAAATAAGAGTTATACGTCATATTTTTTTTTAGAAAGTACAAAATCACCCGTAATGAGCATTGAATGATTTGTATTAATGTAAAAAAGGAAGGCCAATATTTAAACACATGATTCACCAACAATTTTACTTGGAAATCACCTCAAACATCCATTGTATCAGAATTAAGAATGGATTTATCTATAAGAAGAAATGTGGTTTATAAGTGATTACACCACCACAAAAACATTATCATGTGGGTAAGCCATGATTAAGTGATTTACTATTAAGTGCACGCATTTATTTAATTATTTTATTTTATAGAGTATAAAATAAAATAATAATGAAGAACGGATTAATTACAAATCGAACTTAAGGCGTATGCAGAATGTCAAAGTGGAGCATTCTCATTCTTAATCGTGAGAAAGGAAATTGAGGATTTTGTTATACAATTGTGAGAATGTTCATATCAAAAATGGAATATAAAAATATGTTTCAGTATATACAGTACATCACCGGATCTTTAATCGTATTAATTTTTTTAGATGCATCAATAAAAAACGTCCGGTTGGTTCTCTTGAAATATTTGTGCAGATTATAACGATAGTAGAGATTATAAAGATAATGAATTATAGATAAACAATCATGTCAGTAACTAAAGAAATGATGAATCCTGAAACCGAACCATTCTAACAATATAAATAAATAATCCAATAATTGATAATTCATACATGCTTAAGTCAGAAAAAGAAATTATTTAAGAGGAAAAAATGTCGACTTAAAAAGAATTTTTTTAATTTTTTTTATTTTACATGATTTTGTTGATATCCATAACGATAATTGTTATAATACGTATTATCAACTTCAACGATTTATAATCAATTACATTATTTTATCAGCTTCAACGATTTATAATCAAATACAAACAATAATAAATAATTTACAATTTAATTTTTCTCAGACGACTATAAATATTCATTCCTTTCTTACTCTCTTACGTTCTCCATTATCTATAACGAACTTGTCATTTTTCATCTCATCTAAGATGCTTGTGATCATACAATACATGGCCTACCTTTTGATAGCTCCAATTATATTTCTCCTCATATTTGATCTAGCATACTTTGCTATCGGGTCTGCTATAAATACCATCACTCGAATCGAACATACTAAAAGAAGAAATATTGATAACGTCCAAACTACTACAACAAAGAAGTTGCTTGATAGAGAACCTAAGGAATGTAAGTAACTTTTTTTCATATCAAGATTGTTTAAAAAAAGTGAAAACTGATTCTCTAAAATTTTTGTTTAATAGTTTAGTTCTCAAAGAGGTATTATACTAATCTAAGCTTTATAATAAAATTTATGAATGT